GGGTCGAAAAAATAATAAGTGCACTTTTTTTTATAATCTTGGTTAAGCTTCACATTTTGCAGCTGTAATAGAATATAGCTAAGGAAGTGGACATTCAGTGAAGACATAATTCAAGCTATCATCTGCTTTTATTAAGACAGAATATGTACTAAGGCACCTTCACATTATGCATCACATTCAGCCTCATGCGTCATTGTGTTTTCAGGCGCTGCCTTTATGCAGCATTTTTGTCTTAAATGGTTTGACAACACAACTTAACACTTGAAAAAGAGGACATGACCCTTTTTGTTTTGTGCAAATATGCATTGTGATGCACTGTAATGTGGGTGTGTTGCCCGCTACTGTAATGGTACATTGGGGTTCAAACTGAATGGCACCACACTCCAGTTCTTGTGTTAACATGACTTCGAGTATTGTGCCATTAAACCCTTTTTTTTTTTTTTAACCGTACGTTGCTGCAGTGAGAACATGGGCCCTCCCCAAGTACATAAATTATGTTTGAAAGATTCTGTCCTTACAACTTTTTTTGGCGAAATAGTGACCCACTTCTGGTCCTTCACAAATTTCTTCTAACTTGAAATGTATTTCCACTTTTGCAGTCAAATTTGAGAACACCCCACCATATGTTTTTTATGTATTCCTATTCGCACAGCATGCCTAAAAATAATTTGAAACTATATTGCTTACCTTTTTTAGATGTCTCTGTGTGGCAGGCCTTTGGACAGACTGCAGTTGTCTTTCTACAATGCTTCTAGATCCTTTAAAGTTGACAGTGCTCAAATCTAGTTTACAACTGATAATGAGATCTGCCCACACAGTACAGACAGGGATATTTATGGTAAACATTAACCTCCCCAGTTCCCTTGCATTCCAGTTATGCTATGTGAATGAGAACATGTAACAGATATATAAATACATGTTCTTCTGATTAACTCTGACCTGTCCAGTTGAGGTCCACCCAAACGAAACTGTTTCTTTTTTTTTTGGGCCTAGATGGACTCGAAGGTAATCTGATGTAAACGGGACGCAGGTCTGCTCTTTAAGCCACTATGAACTATTTAACATTGTCTATGGGCAAACATTTAAACCTACTGGCACCATTATAGAATCTAGCAATTACAAAGTAAAGTTAGTTTAATGATGGCTTCTGCTTTTTAGTGATGTACAATCTCTGAGTGTTTCTCTGTTAAACTAAAAATGATCAAGTGTTTGATGAAATACATTTACCATTATTAAATTAACCCAGAGAGACCTGAAGATCAGCTTCAGACTGTGATAATTGCTGTAATAAGTGTATTTCTTGGTGGGGAGCTGCATAATGGATCCGAGTGGTTCAGCTGCAGGTGCGTAAATCTTCGCTTGCGACTTGGCGTGAAATGAAACTGCAACAGTCTGATGAAGTCATTAAAAAAGCGATTTGTAAACCCTGTATCAATGCTCTGTTTTTTTCTTCTTTCTTTTCTTCTATTGTTTAATTTTTATAGCCTCAGATAGTAAGGATGAAGAATTCAAAACTCATCCCAAGAGATACTTTTTGGGTATGTACCGTTAACACCCACCTTGCATGAGGATAATACCTTTCCACCCCATTTTAATAGTAACCACTTTATTTCAAATTTGTTTCTTTTTTCTTGACCCTAACCCCACGTAGCAATGATAATTCACTCACAGTCCTGATTTCCTCTTCCTTTTTTTTTTGCATTCATTTGCTCTAAATGTTTGTTTTCCAACAAATATTAACAGCTTACTGTCTGAAAATATTGTTGTGCTCATTTGGCCTTTTTTAGTAAGGTGTGTGAAATTAGAATTGTTCCTGTAGCCCATGGCAGCCATTTGGACTCTGATGTAATGAACAAATTAACATGTAACTGTTTACTGTCCTAATATAATACGACCTTGTGGTCTCCTTTTTAAGGGCTTTTTTTAAATGAGTAAATGCATCATGGTTTCTGGTGCATTCAACTCTGTTTTGCTTCTTAAATACTTCTGAGTTTCTTCAGAAGCACTTTATATCTCTTTCTGACCTCTTTATGACTGTTGGTTGCTGACCACCTTTTTTTAAACTGCTTTTCATTTGTTTGACTTGTTAGAAAAGCAGTTCTGATGCAAGCAAATGTTTGTGTACAAATGTCCTAAAAATTCTAAATTCGAAGCATTAAAAGTGTATGCTCATCCAAAACTTTATTTCTTAGCTTTAGACGGAGTGGAGACGGGTTGGAAGTCCTGTCAGGTTTTTACTGCTATCCAGGGCTCAGTTAGAGAGATTTTCCCAACTTCCTTCCATGCTGATAACATTTTACAAGACCAGAAGTGAGGGCAACTCTCTAACAGCAACAAAGACCAAAATAAAAATGCTTTTCTTTAGGAGAGTAGGGAAAGGCTAAAACCACTGTCAGTTTTTTATTTTTCTTTGTCCCTTTTTTGCAGGTTTTCCCTCACTTCCTAATCCTTCCCCACTTTATCTGAAGTTTAAAAAATGGAAATATAACTAGCTCCTAGTACTAATACTTTGGTTCACTACAATAGTTTGGCGATGTAATGCATGAACAGTGGTTTCTTTTCCCCCATTCCGTCTTCTAGATAGGGTCAGTTTCTTCCCTAAAGGTATATTGTCTCACTTCTGAAAATGTTTATATAATTTAAAATATACATAGCCAGTGTCTTACAGTACTGTGTGCTCAGACTTGGGTGTTCCTCTGACCCCTAAGCCTGCTCTACTTCAGGTAGGTGCCAGCATCTTGAGCATGTGTTGGCAACTTTGAGGGGTTTAAGTTGTTGCTACTAGTCTATGTGGATTATCATTTTCACCAAGTCGGCTTAGAGGGTGAAAAAGGGCTCTATCACCCTGCTTATGGACACATACAGAGAAGAGAAGCAGACTCTTGCTTTGCCCCGATGATCAGGAATTCTCTGAACCACAAGTTACCCCAATATGAAGATGTCATCAGTTGGCTTGTGGTTGGTACACTGGCGGGTCCTAAGCTTCTACCAGTGCCAACAATAGAGTCAAAGTGAGTTAAGAGATCCTACCTGGGCAACTCTTGTATTAATTTAAAGTACAAATGTTTAAAAGAGAGCATATTGTCCCTAACCCTGAATTCAATTATTTGACCAACACAATTGTTTGAATATGATTTAGGAAGTGCAGTCACACTTTTTAAGGGAAAAAAAATGCAGTGTTTTACCTAGTAGGCCTTTATGACTAGTCTATTGTTTTCACATGCTTTTTCCATATTGCTGTTATTGTATTAGGAGGGTGTGGAATGGTTTTGTATATATTCTCTTTATTTGTTTGTTATGATCAGAACTAAAAAATATCAAAACAAACTGGATAACTATGAAATATTGCATATGAATACTATGTAGTCTTGTATCCAGCCAGCAGGTGGACCTTTTTAGGCTCTTTTTCACATTTTCCAATGGCTTACCATAAAAATAATCGCTTAACAAACACTCCACCTCCCTTCTTAACAGCTCTTTGATAGGTTATGCAAATGTGGACAAATTTGTTGGTACCCTTCCAGAAATAAAGAAAAACCTACAATTTTCTCTGATATAACTTGAAACGATCCAAAGTAATTGGCATACATTGTTGTTCTATATTTATAATAAAAATCAATCTGCTTTTGATTTTTTTTATTCAACAGAATATTTTAATTGATAAAACAATTGAAAATGGCACAGACAAAAATGATGGGACCCTTAACCTGCCAACAAGTTATTTCTGTGGTTTAGTAGCAATAATGTATCTATTTTCCCAATGTTTCTTTCCTCTGTGACATGCCAAAGGCATTCATGTATACATGAGACAATTGCTTTCAATTTCGTCCTTTTTTTCAGGAGGAATAAGGCATTGTTTCAGTGAGCTGTAAGGGTATTAAAAAATGATCCACAGCCTTACATACTTGCCCTATCCTTTGCTTCCATACTGCCCCCTGCAGCCACATTGCTTCCGGTGATATACCAGAGAATGCTTAGTATACCAAATCTTGTGAGGAGATGCTTGAGCACAGTGTATGAGTGTTATGCCACAAGATACTCCACAGTCCCCTTGATCTCATTGGTATGACGAAGTCACCCTTTCCTGGGTGCTATGGGTGGAAGCAAGGGATAAGTTTAGTATATTTAATAACGTTTTCACTCCATAAAACTGCTATTACTTATATTAAATGGACCTTGCATTTTTAATCTAAGGTCCACTTTAAGCTGGTACTTCTGCTTTTTGTAGTGAGTTTATCATAATTGTTTAGCATTTTAGTAAATACTGAATCGTATATATAAAATGGACATAAGCATTTTAAGTTATTTTGAAGATTATAATTAATTGTTTGGCATAAAATGTGTGCACAATTAGGGGGTACTTTGTAGTAAATGTTCCAAGGGAGTGTTTGATGTTAGGGGACCTAAGCCACGGGGCTTGGTATACATTGACTATCGTATAGGAATACATACTTCAAATGAACCGAAGAGATATTTTAGTACACTCCAGTCTTCTCTTTTATCAATCTCCCTTGAAAATAAACAGTTCACATTGGTGTCATTAATATAGACGTCTGTTTCATACAGTTCTGTGTTTTTTATTCCTTCTGGAATTTGAGTGTAATCCCAGATTTGGTTAAACCCATAAGCTCTTTGAATAGTTTATATGTGCATGCGGGCATTAATCTTGCAGAGTTACAGAAAAAATTCAGTTAGCCAGCTTTTTAATTGGCTTTGGGCTAAATGTTCTGTGGCATTGCACTGTGACTTGATAATTAGGAAGTGAAGTAGGAGCATGTTGTTCATGGTAATGGCTTTTATTTTCACACCCATGTTGCAGATCATTAATACTATAGCTTGGGTAAAAGTTTTTTTTTTTGTTTTTCATAGGTGTTTGCAGCACCAGGTGTTTGTCAAGGTAATGGCTTGGCATGTTGGAGTTAGCCGATTGTAGAAGTCAGAAGGCTATATATTGATATGAGCTCTGCTATAAGGACATTCACCAGGTTATTGAGAAGGAGTGGAAGAGCCTTTCTGCGAATTATGTTTTATATTAAATGTGTTGTTCTTAGTATCTGTGGGCATCACATACCTCAAACAAAGAAACTTGAGTTGCTTGCCTGTAGTTGAGAAATAAATATACACACACACACACACACACACACACACACGTCTGAAATAGGGAAATATATACCTGATGTCTGCAACTCTTTACAGAACTTCTGCTCCTGAACCTTGCAATGCTCCTATTTGTTTAGAGCCATGCTTGCGTGACAGTAGCAACAGCAGGTAATCAATTTTGGATAATGGATGTACATGTGACAGCACTGGCCTCAAAAAACCCACAAGAATCCATAAAAGCAGAGGAACTGTTTAAGTTGTGCACTAAGTGACGATGATTGGTGGTTAGAGAAACCCAAATTCTCTCCGATTTATTCACTCTTTATAGCTGTAAAGTGGCAGTATTATCCTTGGACTGCAAATACAGGCATTGAAGGACACCTTTTGATTTAATAATGCCACAATTGGCTTGCTTTTTAAATGAATCATAATCTAAGGTTTTTTTAAACATTTTTTTATATAATTGTATTTTCTGAATTTTTCTCTACAAACATTGTTCAGTTCACATGCATTTTCTTGTATCAAGTCTAATTGGTAGAAGATATTCAACTTGTGGATTTATGATCTCCTATGTTGTCAGAATTAGACAGCCTGAATTCATTCATGATAAGCACCAGTTAGATCACACTTGACATCTAAAGTGTATCAGTACAGTACTCAGAAAAAAGTCATTAAAGGAGAACTATGAGGTGAGTGCTTTTCACTCACCTCATAGTTCTAGCCGACCTGTGACAGTGAGACTGTCGCAGGTTGGCTCAGTAGATCAGGAAGTGAGCGAGCACATACCGGCGTTCGCTCACCTCTCAATCCTGTCACAGCTCTCTGCTGTGACAGGGGAGGGGCTGGATTCCCCCCTCCCCGCCCCGATCCTCCAGCGCTGACTGGCGGAACGGAGGGGGCGGGTACAGCTGGCTCTGCCTCTAGATAGGCAGAGCCAGCTGTCACTCACGCAGCTGGGCGGATCCAGACATAATTGTCGGTATCCGCTTCAGCTGCGCCGTCTCAGTATACTGCGGGCTGTAGCTCGCGGTATACTGCGGTGTCTCAGTATACCGCGAGCTGCAGCTCGCGGTATACTGAGCTCAGGGTGACGAGAGGACGCTAGTTTGTGTCCTCCCGTTACCCTAAGGAGAACTATGGGGAAAAGCCCTAACCCCATAGTTCTCCTTTAAATAGTTTCAGATGCCCATGGAGATTAGTAGGCAATTGACCCTACAGGACAGAAAACCGCTTTCCTGGTCCCCGACCCCCTTGATCCCATATCATTCCTCTCTTCAATCTCACCTTCATTTTAATTTCAACATTTTAAACACCTTTTGTAATTCTCTTTAAAATGAACTGCTGTGGCACTGTATAATTCTGGTGCTCATTCATGCAAAGACAAATGGCCTCTAAAGCCCATTCATCATCAGCCAACCCCCATCAACATAATATGACC